GCTATCGACTCTGAAATATGGCAAAACATCAAGGTAGAGCTGTGTAATATGCACTCAGTCAATTYCTTCAAWTTCAATTTCAATTTCTCAAACTTGGTTCAGGCAAACAGTGCAAAAAGATTCCATTTTCAYTGCAATAAAAGGATTTAAAAACAAACAGATTGCGCACAGTTTCAGTTTTTCGTTGTATGTCCTCGGTATTGCACTCGTGTGTCCACTTGAATTTTTTGACATTTTATGACGTCAAGAGTGTCTCAATAAGAGGGCATACAACTCAAAAGTAAACCGTGTRCAATTTGTTAAATGTTGCACGCTAATTGTCGTGTTTGCACGTTATAAAGGTCATCCGTTTGAAAAAATCGGTTTATCCAGATTGGTCTAAAAAATGAAATAGAAATGAGTTTTTGAAGGAAGATTAAATCGCATCCACGGGTTAACACTGGAAAAAATCGCGCACTTWTAAAGGTTGTAAATTTGATGTAATTCATTCTTGGACAAGTACATTATATTTACATCAAATTTACAACCTTTTAAAGTGCGCTATTTTTTCCAGTGTAAATTGAAAAATAGTTGTAAAAAAATTGAAAATTGAAAATAGTTGTATTCATTGTCTTTTCTACAGATCTTTTGGCCCTGCATTAAGTAAACTGGTCTATCAAGTCTACTGTACAAAAGATTGGCYATCATAGTCTGCCGTATCAAGGATCAAGGTTCGTGCTGTTAAATGAAGGGGAGGGGTTGGGACTGGTTTTACTTGATCTCTAGCAAGGTATTTGTGTTACGTGAGGGGTAAGGGATGGGTGGACTTGATGTAGGGATGACTAATTTACGATATAGAAGTGTCCGTGATACAAGTTGGCCGTGATATAGAGGTGTCCGTTATACAGAGGTATTTGTGATATTGAGGTGTCCGTTATACAGAGGTGTTGTGATATAGAGGTTTCCGTGACACACAATTGTCGGTGTTAAACAGGTCCCCGTGATATAAGAGGTATCAGTGATTTTAGGTGTCCGGAAAACTGGGTGTACGTGGTGTGAGGTGTCCGTGATATAGAGTTCTTTGTTATAGTCTTTACAATAGATTCCTTCGGTTTTCTACAAGCGGCTGCGATATGGCTTGTAGATTGTTTTAAACCAATCTAAATAATCATGCATGCTACCTAATCGTAATTATTATAATAGCTATAGAACACGTGCGATGATTGGATAATACAATTGAGTGGCCTCAGGACGTGTTTCAAATCAATCCCATCATGCATGCTATACCTAATCGTCATTATTGTAATAGCTATAGAACGCGTGCTATGATTGGATAACCAGCGGGACGTATATTGATTCGTTCGTTATAGGGACCAACAATCAAAAACTAGATTTTCATTAGGTTCATTTTTTAATTGAGTGTTGTGATGTATTCTTGGTAAGTCGATATTTTCACTGCTGCTTTTTATGCGCAAGTTTTTTTTTTCGCTCAAAAATGAAACGTCTAGGTATAAAAATAGAAGTATTAGGCGAACAAAATTTTATGTAATAACTTGAAATAGAGGATATTACATGGGCGCGCGGAGATACGGATTTTATCTTCGAGTGTTGAAAAGATCTCTCACGAGTGAGCGTTCTTGATATCTCGTTTTSCTGAGCGGTGTTATCAATGCAGGCTCTCGTTCTGAYTATCATGAAGGAAACAAAGGCGAAAGCAAAGAGTCAAATTGTAAGACAAGRTTGAAATTAAGAGCAAATATATATTGAAACTTTGATTTTAAGAGAAAACTAGAGCCATTACCATAAAATATTAGTGATATTACTGCACAAAATCGTTTTRTCGCGACCTAGAAATTTTGAAGCTTGTTTGGYCGGATTTTAGGTATTTCAGCGACCTCATYGAAAAAAAGCTTAAAAAATAATTAAATCAAATACAATTATATACAAAACTCTTATAGTTATGAGAGTTCGTGTTCAAATAAGCCGAATAAAGTTGATTAATTGAAACTTCGCCACAAATMGTAGCAGAGCTCTAAATCGCAACGAGCTTTAAAGCTTTGAGGTCGCGATACAAGTGTTTTTAGTTGATGTAATCAGAGTATGTTCAGAACAAGATAGAAATCCGATATGTTTATGGCATCGATAATGTTCATTTATTCTGAGAATTTATGGTTAATTTTTAGGCTTTGTTTTAGAATTTACCGCCAGCTAAGTTAGTGCTCAATTAGCTTATTAGTTTTGTTTGTGTTGGTGTGACTTTGTTTGTTTTTGGTTTTGTCGTTGGTTTACAATTATTTGTTTTGTTATTTATATATTTTTCGTCTTAGTACATATTGGTTTGAACAAACTAGCCATCTCATCCTAAAACACCTTTACGTGAACCCCTTCTCAATAWATTCTTCTCGTTCTTTCTTTAATTTAAAAGTACACATCAACATGACTTCATCCGAATAAATATATCAAAGTTTTCTACACAGCTTGGTTTAGTGCCCCATATACGTAAGCCTGTTTATAAGCCAGAATTATGTGGTTCTCATGAATGTGTTTAGCATTTTCTTTGTATTGTTCTCATTATTTTAGTCGATATTATATTCACTTCTGCCACAAAAATAACACGGAAAAATAATGAGTAATTGGTATTGCTCATCGCTCAGATAATCATTTGTTCCACGACTCAATATATATAACTCATTTTGATTTAACTCCTGTCTTTTTTTAAGTTGCTGTGAAGTAGTTTATCTTTCATTCTCAACCACAAGCATTTTTCTTTGGGCTGACTCTGTTAAATTATGTTATTTTGCTATTTTTTGTTCATACTCTTATGCCCTAACTCTGTATTCCTCTGTGGTTTATTTATTACATATATAGAACCCCTATGCGAAATATGGCGCTTGCGGTTAATGCGTGCAAGAATATTTTTAAATAACTAAAAAMACACACACASAGATCGGAACGACTTGCAGCTTTTTACCGCGTTGCGAGCAAGTCAAGCTTATACCGTTGGGATGAAACGTGTGTCGATGACTCACCGAGCGGATAATATACGATAGCGTAATGCATCGCATGCGTCTTTATCTCGATAAACCTTTGCTTACCAGGCAAGGCATCAGTCTATCGACCAATATGACCGCCCGTCGCTTTATATGCACAAAACCCCCTCAAATTGTGATAAACCTCTTGATCCTGCCATCTCAGCACATGCAGGTGGTTCCCTGCCTAATGTGGGCGTTAAACATCGTATATAAGACCAGAGCTGAGGTGGTGATCTAGTCAACGTTTGTTATTCCAAGTTTTTTCACCATGAAGCACCATATATTTGTGATGTTTTTGACTGTTGTGTTTGTCGCTAGTCAATCCAGTTGTACTTTTATGCATCAAACGGCCAAGAATCCAACYGGAAAAAAGCGATCATTTCAGGTATAGACTTTGATATTGAATTAATATTGATTTAAAAAAAAAACAATTTCTTACTTGCATATATATGCAAAAGAAGTGTTTCGACATTTTGCATCAGTGTTTATGTAGTAACGAGTATTGGATCTGGGATCAGGGTTATTTTTTGGCTTAGGGACCACCTTTTTGTATTTTTGGGGGGTTCAAGTTTCCGATTAGAGTTTTAGCTTTTGAATTGGAATCAATGTTCTAGGAATCGCGATCACAAATGTTATTAAGGTATTGGCATGAATCGGGGACCAAAATTGTCGTTTTTTTTAGGATCAAGGATCAGACTTATAAYCCTTGGATCGAAGATCACTGCAAAAGCTAAATACTGCAATGCTAACCTTAGATGCCATTACTAAGAGCTAGAATGTTCGAACTATAGAAGTCCCCAGGCCTTCATTAAGCCAAAGGAATTACAATRTGATCATATCGTAACATATCGTATAATTATGATAACTTGATAGAGTTACAAAGCTGAAAATCTCACGTACAAGTTCAGTCCCTATCTGCATTGATGTGTTATTGTTGTATATTCCAATTGCTTTTCATGATATTATTATTATCTATTCCGAAACTGATGTCGTCGGAAAGTCGGAAAGAGATTTACACGATCGAAAAGGATCTACATAAATGAAACAATCTCAATAGCTGCTGTAGTTTAATCGAG